AGGGCCTACCTGATGATGCAGATAATATTTTTTGTGGTGTTAGTAAAGAAATTGGAACAGGTAGGTTTTCTTTTATTTCTATCCTTATATGACAGTTACTTAGAAAAAGATATATAAGAGCTATTTTTCTTACATTAAAAAAAAATTGTGATAGCTTGCCTTTTTTTTTTTTTTTTTTTTTTTTTTTTCAGAATCATATAGTGGGACATGATAGTGGGAGGAATGAGTAGGATTATAGAGGAAAAAATTGATTATTAGTATAATTGTAGAAGATGGGTAATGGATAATTAGGATTTCATTGCACTAGTGTCTCCACTTTTATGTTATGTTTGATATTTTCCATTTAAAAAAAGTAAAATAGATACTATATACTATTGGTTTCATTGACCACTTACTAAGGTTAAAGTGTCCATAGCTTATATCATTAATTTGAAAGAAAAAAGCTTTGAATTCCTTTCATTTAATGTCACTGTGTTTATTGAATGTTAAATCAACACATGCAAAAAGTAAGTGAATTATTGATGAAACATAAGGTAAAATAAATGAGTTTTCTGATGAATATTTTTCTATAAACTGCTTACTACTAAAAATGATAAAATTGATCATCTAAAAAAATCTGTTAGTTGCCGGTAATTCCTCTAAAATTGTTGAATTTATGAGGCACTACCAATGCTGTTGTAAACAAAATAATGAGTATATATGAACATAGGTAATTCAACTATAATTGTGATTTTAGCAAATCACTTGGCTCTGTAGTAGAAATTTCATTTGAAAATTAAGCAGCGTGTATTAGGTGATCATGAGGTTTATCTTTAAAATTTCCTGCTTCTTGAAAATCATAATAATTTGTATGTGTAATGATTTTTGTGTGGTATGTTAGTCATGCATGAGGAGTACTTCATTTATGCATGTATTACACTTGCTGACCTAACCATATTTCTGAGGCTGGTTGTCAGGAGGGCAGATAGGTAAGAGCAGGAAGTTGCCTTTATGACTGTTAAGATGCTTTGAAGAACACATGGTCAGATGTTAGCTGTTCCTCAGTACAGTACCCGTGGATGGCCCTTTAACATTGTTCCTGCTCCCAGATATAGGGAGCCCGTGCAAATTGGCTATCTGAAATGGCTACTTTCTTTTTATTGCTGAATCACTTCTTTTTTTTTTAAATCACTTTGCCTGTCTTCCCTATTCAGAATAGTTGTCTCCTCATTTGGGAGAGTTTTATTTCAGATGATTGCCTGTAGTGGCTGGGTTATGTGGGTGATGAAAAGATCAAAAAGCAGTTTAGTAGCACAGACTGCTGATTAGACTCATGAGATGAGACCACTGATCTCTTTGAGAAACTACTGAGTTTAAATTTGGGGAGAGAAAGAAATGGGAGAAGAAATGCTGTTATGTTCCTCCACCAAATGCTGAAAATTTCACACTTTAAAATATATCGTTTTCTTTTTATAGCCTCTGCTAAGCTGGAGTTACATGAGAAGCCAGAAGGAATATTGAGGCTAGTGATGTCTAGGCAAGGTTAGAGCCTCTGTAGTTGGTGAACTTTGTGGTAATCCTGGGAGCTTTGGAACAGGAATTATCTATGGAGAGTTTTTGTGCTGTGCGGGATGTATCCTAATGACTTCTCAGAGACAATTCAGGGTATTTATTCAAGATAAGCTTCCTGAGGGCAAAGCTTATAAATCACTATTGGGCCTGGAATATAGTAGAAACTTAATGTTTTTTTTTTTTTTTTTTTTTTCATTGAAAGACTGAATGAATTAGAGATGAGTTTTAACTTCGGTTTTTATTTATAAACCTCAAAGATTTATTGCTGGTATTGTTGAATAAAAAACTCTTGCTTGCAATGAAATAACTAAGGTAGATTTTAAGAAGGATAGAAGCAAGCTTCAGTGGTAAGATACTAGTATATTTCTTTACTTCTACGACACATATTACATGGGATGTGTGTCTGTCAGTGGCATTTTATAGTCACAGTAACTGTACTGAAGTTGGCTTTTGTTAGATAAGATTTGTATTTGTGTCTGTCAGATACTTGGGGGTATTAACCTACCTGCAACCACTTTAAATTCTGCATAAAGTATTTGGACCACTTTGGTACATATAAATTCAGTCTGGAAACTTACCTTAGCGCTGATTTGTGGTTCAGATTCTCAGTCAAGTTTCTTCTCTTGCCCTCTTTACTGCCAGGGTTGAGATAAAACCTTCCTTTCTGTAGGGTGGATTTGTTCTTTAGTGTTCCCAACTAGGGATCTCCTGCTAGACTCCCCATCTTGAACATTTTTTTAAAATAAATTTTATTTTTATATTCCCATAAATTGCAACCCCCTTATTTTGACCCCAATCCCTCCCCCCCGCCCCTACCCCCCTAGAGTGTCTCTGGTTCATAGTTGTTTGTTGATTCTGATTTTCACTTTCTTATAGTTATTCATTTTCCTGGTCCCTTATTTAAGTTTTCTAGATTCCTGCTATGAGTGAGACCATCCGGTATTTTTCTTTCTTTCTGGCTTATTTCGCTGAGCATGATCCTTTCCAGCGCCATCCATGTTGCTGCAAATGGCATGTGTTTATCTTTTTTGAATGCTGAGTAATATTCCATGGTGTAGATGTACCACATCTTGATCCATCATCTATTTTGGGCATTTGGTTGTTTCCAAAGCTTAGCTATTGTAAATAGTGCTGCTATAAACATAGGGGTGCAGGTGCTCTTTGGAATTGATGTTTCTGTGTCCTTTGGGTAAATACCTAGGAGTGGAATTGCTGGATCATATGGAAGCTCTATGTTTAGTAGGTCCAGAAATCTCCACACAGCTCTCCATAGTGGTTGGACCAGTTTGCATTCCCACCAACAGTGCAGAAAAGTTCCTTTTTTCTCCACATCCTCGCCAACATTTATTGTTGCTAGTTTTTTTAATATGTGCCATTCTCACTGGTGTAAAGATGTGCCATTCTCACTGGTGTAAGATGGTATGGCCATTTGCATTTCCTCTTCAGAGAAGTTTCTTTTTAGCTCTTCTGCCCATTTTTTGACTGGATTATTTGTTTGTGTTGAGTCTCATCAGTTCTTTGCAGATTTTTTGTGATCAGTCCTTTATCATTAGTGTTGTGCAAAAATGTTCCCTAGTGGGAACATTTAGGAACCCTAGGTGGGGTTTCTCTTTGTTTTGGGTTATTGTCTCTTTTGCTGTGCAGAAGCTCTTTAATTTGATGTAGTCCCAGCTGTTTATCTTTGCCTTCACTATCACTGCTTTGGGTGATGTGTCTGTAAAGATGTCTTTGATGTGCATATCACGTAGTGTTTCGCCTATATTCCTTCTGTGTATTTTATGGTTTCTGGTCTTATGTCTAGTTCTTTAATCCATTTTGAGTTGATTTTTGTGTATGGTGTGGTAATGGTCAAGCTTCATTCTCTTTGCATGTAGCGACCCAGTTTTCCCAGCACCATTTATTGAACA